GGGCTCCGGGGGGGGCTCGCACTCCAGGTCCCCCTTGGTGCTCTCGCTGCTGGACAGGCACCCCAGGCCGGAGTCCTGGCTGCTGGGCGGCGAGAACACTGCGAGAGGGGGAGAGAAAGAGAGAGAACACAGCGCCTGAGCCCCCCTCCCCGACCAGGGGGACTCTCACGGGGCTCCCCTCCCCGGGAAGAGGGGCGAGGGGTGCCCCCCCGCATGACGGGGTGCCGTCCTCTCTGCTCTGGCCGAGGTCAACGCAGAGGGGTAATGATGGTGGGGTGGAAACAAGCGAGGTCTGGGGCTCGCAAGCCTTTACCCCCCCAAAACTAACCTGCTCACAGACCTAAGGGCCCGGCTCGGGCAGGCCGACACCAAGGCCAAATATTAAAGAATTGAAAACTAACATAGTGCTAGGAACGGTTGCAACATTGCAATTTGCAGTAGATACAAAAACGAAGTAAAAGGGTCTCTGACCTTCCTAACCTTAGATGAGTTGTGATCCACCCCCAACACTCCCTTCCTGCCTACCGTGAATATAATTAAGGGGAAGCTGCAGTGGTAATTTCTCTCCTCATTAACTTCCTGATTGGTTTCAGGCTCAGGATTCCGGCGGGCGGCAGTTTGTCACCAATTCCAAATGGCCAATCGTTAATACTAATGTTTGTGTAACTAACTGCCAGCATCTGCCACGGCTTCTTGTACAACAATAATAGTGAAAGGGTAACATTAGTGATTCCCGTGTTAATTCAGATTCTGTTCATCAATAGGAAAATCTATGATGTAATTAGCAAAATGCATCAGTAGTTGAGGCAGTCGGAGGGAACTAAATCACAGTGGGAGCTCCATGGGCCCCTGACACCTTAATCATCAATACTTACTACGTTCTGGATTTTACTGTTCAGTGAGGACTATTACCAGGCTGTGATCTTTTAAAAGAGAATATTGTTTACAACCATTGCTCGTTTTTTAGAAGCCATGATGAATCTAGTGCAACTGTGCAAGAACAAGGAACATGGAACTGAGGCTTAAACTCTGTCCCCAAAATGCACCGCTGTGCCCAAGCGAGCAGCTCCTCCACACTTGAGCCTTGGGTGCTTGCAGACACAGGGGACTTCTAGCACATCTGATGTTCAATGAGAAAGAAAAAGACAGGCTTGAAGCCAGGAAAATCCAACAGGATCCAAGGAAAGTAAAGCAGCAGCCATCTAGGTCCATCCCATCACCGGGAAAATTAGAAACACTGAAAAAAACCCACCAACATCCCATTTCTATTTCTAGTATCATCTATTTCTGCAGTAACTTGCATATGCAGCTCAGCTTCCTGATTTGTCCTTATTTTGAACACAACCTGGGTTACTACGAGATGGAAAATTATTATGGAGTTAAGGTCTCATGTATCATTTCCACCTACTTTTTCTGTGACTAGATATAACAGCAATTTCTGTTACTTTTGGGGAGTCTTGCCCATTTTTGACACTGATGAACCTGGCTCCTTGATTTCATGCAAGTTTCTACTTTGACATGTCAGGAACAAACAAAGCTCTAACATCACCCTACCAAAGCAGACTCTACTATTGTCTTAGAGCTGACATAAGCCTTTACTGCCTAAGATCTCCTAGGACTTGAACCAGATGCAAACATGCAGGTTAGGGAAAATGAGTGGAAGAAGAAAGGAACATTTCTGCTCCTCTAGAAGGGAAGCTGGCCCTCCTCCTGAGAAGGGCTCACAGCACAAGCATATTCATTGGGTGGCCCAGTCTGCACCACACTCGCACAATCTGAAGCACACACCATTCATTATTCTGGCGAGCAACTTGTTGGACTGGTTCATGACTACTACAAAACAACAGAACAGAGATGCTCTGTCAAAGGGGGAAACCCCCTTCAGAGAAGGCAGCTATCAGCACCTCTCCTGACGCGCATGACAGACTAGCTCCTAATGGTCATTCAGGGCCTTAGGTTTTGCCTGCCAACAACACAAGCTTTGGTTGGATCTGGCCACATGTATCTCAGGAGTCATCTCTTTCTTCATGAGGTTATCTTATATTACATAGTAAACAAAGAGTAGTGTGGCTTCCATGAGGCTGGCTGGTTCAAGAGCTCAGTCCTCTTGATGCTGAAACCTCATTCTGCTCTGATTTAGCTAAGCCCAATGTGTTAAGATTTAGGACATACTGTAAGGAATCAGGAATCTCTGTGTTCCCATACTGTGAGACGAAAGGATGAAGGAAGAGATTGAGGTTGAAAGGGGATAATTTTTTGTTTACTGCTGAGTAGCCAAATGGGCAAGAGGTTTATTCATTTTAAAGGATTTGTTAATATTTTTAGTGTGCATGTGCCTGGAGTGATGGAAAGGCACATTTTAAAATACTGAGATCTATAAATCTCTGTGACAAACTTACAGAAAGTTTTTTTCGTAAATGGACAGATCCAACAGAAAACCCAGGCAACATGCTAGAGCACATATGTTAAAATCCTACCACAGCAAAACTGCCACTTTGTTTTCATGTTTCTATTTTTCTAGCAGCTATGCATTAATTCAGTGTAAACCTGGGGAATGACACAGAGGGCAAGTTTTTTGATAGACAGACACCCACGTCAGTTTCTTAGCCCCTCAAGTGCTGGCTCCTAAGCCTTCTGGCCCAGTGGGCTCCACCAGTCTTCCAGTATTTCTCATGGGGCATCAGACATCCTGACTGACCTTCTAATGGGTAGTGTCATTACATGGAAACAGTTCCAGCCACTGACTGGTTGCTCCCACAAACTGCCTCAGGGCCCGAAGCTCTTACCTAAAAACAGGGGTTGTTTTTCCACTGACTTCCAAATTAATCACAGTTTTAACAGTTAAGCAATTTGGGGTATATACGCTGGTCTCTGACTTTGCACAGGGGTATACAGCAACAGCCTCATAGATTTTAAAAATAACCTGGCACTACTGACATACTACCTTTAGCAGATGAGTGCTACTCCTGTGTCTAAACCTGCACTGCTTACTCGGACAGACTTCCACTGCAGTCAGTGTGAGTCACCAAAGCCAAGGTGCAGTGAGCAGATGCAATGCTGATAATAAAGAGCAAGATACTCAGATTGGGACTTGTAGCTATAAAAAGGCAGCAAAAAGGAAATGAGCAATTCTGTTCCAGTGTTTTAATCACACAGCAATAAAATGTAGAAGTTCCAAGTTCAAAGAAACAAAAACCATGTTCTTTTTGATTTAAATGTATGAGTTTCATCTGTTTGAGGCTTGTGGCTGATCCTCCCACTGTTGTTACACAACCCTTACCCGTGTAAATAACACTACCAGAATTGGGTCTGTGACAGTTTTTAAAGACCATTTCTTGATATAATTACCTCTTACCCTTGGGAAGGCACCTGAATACTTTTGAGCTATATGAATCTGAAATTTTTTCAGCTAATATCACACAGGAAAAGAAGTGAGAAGGGATTCCAACCATAAATACAAAACCTTACATCTTCTGACACTGGAAACCACATTGACTTTTAACATGAGTGATCCCTGGAATTCAATGGTCTGAAAAGAATAATACACTTTCAGTGATGTGAGAAAGCAGAACAATATTCATGCTTGAAAAGTAAATATTTTCCCAAGTTTACATTTAAAAAACTATTAAACTCTCAATAAGGCGCAATTTTTAAAGATTTAAAGTTGAAAGGTACAATCCATTTTTTAAAACTCTTTCACCTTCTTTTTCAGGAAAAAGGAAAATAAGTAAGTATGCCAGTCACACATACTGCTAAGGCCCATGCACTTCTTCTTCCTAGCGTGTACACATACGTGTGCAAGCACAGCCATGCGTGCAGGATGAAGGGCAGCAGAACCAGACTGCCACTGGCAGCCGGAGGGCATTAAAGCATCCCTAAAGCGTGCTTGCATTTTTGGTGTGAGGGTGTACAGGAACCG